CCGCTGACTCATCTCTCCCTCTGTGGAGCTCCCCAACCACAGGGGCCTGGAAGAGAAGCTTGGAAAGTTGCACTCATGTCCCAGGCCCCTGGTCTGGCCACTAACCCCCACCCCCGCCCCGCCCTGCCATGCACCCAGGCCTAATCCTTGTCTCTAGTAGAGACACTGGTGACAGAGAACACAGAGGGGACAGGAAAACAGGCACCCAGGACAGGGAAACAGAAAGACGAAGGAAGAGAGAGAGCTAGGAGAAAACAGAGATGGCAGGAATACAGATAAGAAACCCTGAGGGACAGCTGCTAATATGGCAGGGTCCTCCAAAGGCCATGGGGTTGGGGACCAGGGAAACTTACTCCTCAGGTGGCAGAAGATCCACTCATGGCTTCGGGATATGGACACTACCCAGTGCCTTGGCCTCACATTCTGAGCCTGGGGTCCTTGGGGAAGAGGGTCCAATTTTCTTCTCCACCGGGAAGAAGGGAAGCTCTTAAGAAACCTGCAGCCTCTGCCTAAGATGGCTTGGAAAAGGTGCTCCCCACCTACCACGTCCTGTACACATTTACACATACGAGCATAACTCCAGTCTCTCCCTCTGCTCGGCCTCCCTGTTCCCGCTGCCAGGGACCAGGGCTCCAGGGCAGGCATCCTGGTGCTAGCCCTGGTTCTCCTTTGCTCTGAACCTCAGTATCCTTAGTGGACATTTAAGCCCTGAGACAATATAGAAATCCCCGAGGAGGCAGGTCAGAATTAGAAAGAGAAGTGCTATGGGAGGGGAAGGAGGAGCAAGGACAGCAAGGGACAGACAGGAAAATGGAGGGAAGGGGAAGACTGGGGCCTGACCCTGGAAGGAGGGAACCTGCCCTGGGTAGGTATTTCACATGGGTCAGCATGGAATTAAGACTCTGGTCATCTGGCCCTGGCCAGTGCGGCTCAGTTGGTTGGAGCGTTGTCCCATGCACTAACGGGTTGTGGTTTCAATTCCCTGTCAAGACACATACCCAGGTTGTGGGTTTGATCCCCAGTTGGGCGTGTATGGGAGCTCACATAGATGTTTCTCTGTTTC